ACCATAACTTTCTGCCAGAGGTTACAGACGGTAACGGCTAAGGGGCACAGAAATAAAGGAAGACCAAAGAACACATGCAGACAGGAGCTACAGAGCCAAGTTAAAAAGATGGGAGATGACATGGGGAGAGCTGCATGTGATAGCCAAGGACAGAACAACTTGGCGTGAGGTGGTTGAGAACTTATGCTACACTGGGAGCTAGCAGTGTTGCCACTTTGGATGTTTTACATCCAGCTTTATGTTTTTAATTGCATTTAGATAGCGTTTTTTACGTTTAGATGGTAGATGTTTTTCTAGATGTTTTTCATTAGAAGTGAATCTAATAAATCTAACCTAAGAAAGGATGAGATTTGACCTTTTAAATGCTATCTTGACAATAAAATTCGGCGTGATAAGAGTAGGAAAAGTCTGTTTCACTTATCAGCTCCCTGATTGGGTATTAAAATAAAGCTAAAGCATCCCAGAGTCATTTTCGATCTGAAGCTTCAACTTCATCATCCAAGCTAAGTTTATCATGTGGAAAGTGTAAGGTAGACTTCAGTAAAGATGAGGACATGATTCTATAGGGTAAGTCATATCAATTGCTATGTAATTTGAGACTCTTTCCATTTGGATGTTTTTTCTAGATGTTTTCCACGCAAATTTAAATGTTTTTAGATATGTTTTGACTTCGTTTTGGATGTTTTTTTGTCAATGAAAAGTGGCAACACTGGGAGCTAGAAAGACAGGGGAAGAAGAAGTGCTAAGAAGAAGGCAGTCCCATATAGCTACTGCCACAGGGATATGAATTGCTGGGCGGTTACATATTTTCAGCCATAACTTACTTACACGATAGATATACCCAAACCACTACCATCTGTTACAATTTATATACATCAACTATGCAGTGTTAAAAAACAAAAATGTAACTGACAAGCAAAAATACTAAAACAGAAACAAAAACAGTGCTTATTTAAACTGAAACCCTGACAGGCTGAACAGGACATAGCCAGGAAAGGCTAACCAGGACAACAAATGCCTGCAGAAGTCGGATGTATCGGCCGAAAGGTGCTAATTTTGCAGCCATGTTGTAAACGGGCACAATGTATTTATGCTTTTGGAGAATACATAAGAAACTTAAGGATAGGATATCATTTCTGTATTAAATCCAACTACTACAAGACAGGTTGACAAGTTTCATTCTTTATTTTTTTTTCTTTAGTGATCAGAAAATTTAATTATAGAAGAGAGAAACAATATGTTGCAGAAAGTACTGCCTGGTATATTTCTTTGTACCACATCAGGTACGTAACAATTTAAATTCAGGTTTCAGTTAACCTTCCTTGGTAGAACCAAATGACAGTTTGGAAATAGAGTAGCACAGCACATATTATAGTGGCCAGAGACACTTCCTTGGTAGAACCAAATGACAGTTTGGAAATAAGAGTAGCACAGCACATATTATAGTGGCCAGAGACACTTCCTTGGTAGAACCAAATGACAGTTTGGAAATAGAGTAGCACAGCACATATTATAGTGGCCAGAGGCACATAAAGCAGATACTTTAAGAAAGTCAAGATCAATCAAAAGCAAAGTATCGAATCTTTCCATTGGACATCATCTGTTAGACTGTGGTCATGTGATTAATAGAAATGGAGTTCACGGTATTTATAATAGGCAATTATTACACCTGGCAGAAGCAGTGGCAATTAGGATGGGTAATCCTGCATCATGCAAACAAGAGGATCATGTAGTCATGTTTAAACTTATATGGTAAGATGTATAGTATAACAAGAGAAAATGTGATTTTGATATTTCAGAAATGAGAATTTATGTTTTATTCTTCATTACAGCACCATCTTCTGTAGTAATGCACCTAATGAGACTGTGATAATATCCAATAATTTATATCCATATGCTAGGAGTAAAAGAAACCAAAACTAGTGTCAAACTTGATAAATTTAATTGCAGAGCTTTGTTCTAATCTTCTTCTTCTTCTCCACGTTCACTGGAAAAGCAGTTGGTCTTTTCTTGTTTTTCCCCATACCCATACAGGGCCTTTCTTCTAGAGGTATGCAATGTAGGAACTTTTTAAAGGCACAATTTTTGTCTGCGCTACACTTTGTGATGCGTTCTGGCACTGATTTTTCATCCTTGCTTATCAAATTAATATTGGCCAACACACAATTTTTGTCTGCGCTACACTTTGTGATGAGTTCTGGCACTAATTTTTCATCCTTGCTTATCAAATTAATATTGGCCAACACACAATTTTTGTCTGCGCTACACTTTGTGATGAGTTCTGGCACTGATTTTTCATCCTTGCTTATCAAATTAATATTGGCCAACACACAATTTTTGTCTGCGCTACACTTTGTGATGAGTTCTGGCACTGATTTTTCATCCTTGCTTAGTGGTAATATCAAATTAATACTGGTCAACACACACTTTTTATGTGTGCAGGCAATAAAGATGATTTGTAAAGGAGAGCTCTACATGTGGGTGTAGGCTACACTGGGGGTAAAACAAGAACAGACCCGCTGCCTGCCAACAATATATGCTAGACGTATATTTTATAAAACAATCGGCATTCAGTGGGTTATGTGGTCAACATCATGTCACCTGTCTTTAGTAAAAAGGACTTTAGCTGGTACCCATTTAAGGCTGGGTTTAGCTGGGAGCCACTACACCACGGCAGCTTCCAACATGCTAACGACAACTGCATATTTGTTATGAATAAACAGCTCCAAATATTTGTAAGGAAAGATCAAGCACATAACAAAAGCTAAACTTCATATAAAGAATGTTCGGAAATGTGAAAGTAATTTAGGAAAGTATAGATGTCAATAGCTACATTTATGCCTATGTATTCAGTTTAAGTTAGGATATGCAATACAATAACGCTTTTAGAACTTAACCTCTCTGAGTCCCAAGAACGCATCATACGTTCATAGGTTACTGCCTAGAAACCCAATGAACGCATGATGCGCCGATTTTACTTTTCTTTTGACTACCTCTTGGGCCTGTAATGCTAAACCCTCTGGGACTCAAAGAGAGATGTAAATTCAGTAATATTAAATCATAATTTTTTGCCTTTGAAACATTAGATAAGGATAATTAGCAAACTAATACAATAATTTAGTCATTTAATATTTTCAATGCGTGCGGCCTGGAAAATGTGAAAGAGCTTCATAATTTCAAGTTGTCTGGTGTGATTCCAGCTGCAGGTGATTTTGCAGCAGACTGCCTTGTGTTGACTCTAACAATAGTATTAACTCTTTGAGTCCCAAGAAATGCATCATACGTTCATGGGTTCCTACCTAGAAGCCCAATGAACCCATGATGCGCCGATTTATTACTTTCTTTACTATGCCCTGGCCCTGTGATGCTTAACCCCCTGGGACTCAAAGAGTTAGGAGCCGACTGTTCAGGACAATGGCACACTAAAGAGCACAGAATTGCCTAGTAAAATGAGATACAGCCCAAAAATGATGGGGTTGGTTATGCAATGGCATGTAAAAAGTTATGCAATGGCATGTAAAAAGTTATGCAATGGCATGTAAAAAGTTATGCAATGGCATGTAAAAAGTTATGCAATGGCATGTAAAAAGTTATGCAATTAACTACAAAGAAGGTAAGAAGAGGATGATATTATTATTTAATATAATTATATGACTAACAAATAATTTAATGACATGATGACTTCAAATTAGCAAAAGTATATTTTAAAAGGATAATATTGTATATTCCAATTATATTACTGAGGTCTAGAGTTTGAATCCATATTGAGGTGAGGCAGACTTTTATCAAATGATTTTAGCTCCAGGGTATGAGAAAATGTCCAGGGAAATAAAGGCAACATGTATGATAATAAATACATCACCCACTGACTGTTAATTTGTTTTTAAAAAATAGGTTTAACACCAAATACCCCGTCATTGAAAGTACCCAAAAAGGTCCTTTACTTTACTTTTATAACCAAGTTAATAAGATAAAATTTCTATGTGAATTACTACCACTAGTATTACTACTATAGGTTAGTTGCGTATCCTTTACAGGACGTTGCAAATTTACGTCCAGTAGTTTCAAATTGCTTTCTGGACGGTCGGCTTTCTTGATCCACTGTCGAAACCAACAAAAGGCGCATGGCCCGCAGCTAGGATCGAACCCGGCATCCCGGCATTACGAAGCCTTCACATTGACTTAAGTACTACTACTACTGCTAATAAAAAGGCTAGTTGTTGCATATTCTCTCCAGGACCAGACCCAGCACTGTTTGGGTATTGCTGTTTTTCTAGGCAAATATTAATGTTCAGTAGTTTGCCACTGCTTTCTGAATTGATGGTCAGCTCTCGATACCACTGCTGAAAACAAGGCAAGAGGTCTGCTGCTAAATTGCCAGCAGCTGGGATCAAACCAGGCATTTCGAAGAGTGTTCTCAATGCCTAAGTTACAGACGCCAACTACTGCTAGCATTACTCTTATTACTGCTGCTTTTCTTACTGCTGCTACTACTACTTCTGCTACTACTATGCTTCTTTTTCTGCTGCTACTACTACTACTACTATTACTATTGCTTACTTTACCGCTGCTTTGCACTCCGGACTGTCCATAGGTGCTCAGATCTCAGTATGAACTCCGATGGCTACTTCTACAAGTCTTGTCTGGTGTGCCTCTCGTTTTTTGCTGTGCCGATGCTACTACTATGTCAGCTCTTTCATTTCCATCGTGCTGCGTGTCCCGGAACAAAAAATAAAGGTGACTCCACGCACAGTGGACTTCTGCTATGATAAGCCATTGTCTTCGCTACTGAACCTGTCTGACCCTCCGGATTCATACTCATTGAATCACTGAGTATACATATGCGGGTGTATTTTTGTGTTTCAAGCCAGGCAAACGCTTATGATTCTTAAGCCCAAATGTAAGCTTATTTGTAATAGTAATTCTGCCCCTACTTAGTTTCTGCACGAATTAACATTAAACAGAAATAAAACTTCAATAAACTAAAACTCAGACGGTACCTTGATTTCCGAGAACAATGCAGACATCTTCTCCCTCACATCGTCAAACGGACACATCAAGGACAGCCTCAAGATTCCAGGCAGAATCGACTGCAGACAGAACCCTTGTTGTTGTCTGGTTTTGAAAGTGCCAGACCTGTGACTGTTGTTATTATTAAATGCCACAGCAGAACTAACGCAGCCATCTAAATGTTGTTCTACTAGAGAATACAAGTTGTCAAGGGCTTCCTTTCTGGTGTTCACATCTCGACTAGATAATGGTGCCAGATACTCTTTTGTATTAACGGCATTCTGAACATCAGTTAAGTAAATCTCCACTCCGTTACTTTCAGCCATTAGATAATGCGGAGTGTACGAAGACCTTCCTTACTACCTATGTAATTCGTACCTTAAATAATCCAGAGAAAACAATTGCTTTTACTGTACAAGTGAAGAACGCATATTTATTGTAACAGATTCTAATTTCCAACGATAACTAAGTGTATCATAAGAAGATGCAGGATGTAAGCACAAATCATAGACTAACTGTACGTGCTGTGAGAAACAACTTATATGCGGTCTGTGGTCGCAGGTAGCCTGGTTTACTGCACATCCCCGGCTGACTTCACTTGGCACACACAGGAATCAGCTGATGGCCTCATACAGGTCACAGTACAGTCATAAATAGGTCAGCCCTCCAACACGGACCGTGTTTTCTGATCAGAAATACACCGGCCGGTGTTTTCAGACGTCAGTCGGATAGCTACTAATCATTTTAAGATCATTAAATAATGAGCTTTGCTAATTACATTATTAAATAATGAGGATTGTTTCCTTTCAGTAAGAAAATTTTTTCAAATAATGACTGCACCGCCATATATAGGGCACAACACCCCGCCCACCCAAAAAACCCATGTTTTATAATCAGACGTCAACCCTGTTTTCCCTTTCTAGATATCTGGTAGTGATTTTAATATCATTAAATTATAGCCTTCGTTGAAAGCGATTTGGATAATTATTTACTATAAATAAGAGATTCATTGTGCATTTAAATATAGGCCAGCTCCCCTCTACGGACTGCTTTCTATTCTTGCACAATCCTGTTTTTCTTTATAGATATTTTTGGTAGATAATTTTCAAATGATAAACTTCCTTAAAAACAAAACAAAACAATAAGCATTATTATCTACTGTGGACAAGAATTGGCGATTACTAACTAACTATTGTATAGAAGATGTAAATAAACTAGTATGGCTTTAACCAGGCATATGTTTGTGCGCAGGCGCAGAGCTGGTAGCCTTGACCGGGATTGATTGAATGCTCAAGGCACGCCTCCATGATTGTCCAATGAGATTGTGTGAGCGCTCGTCTTTCAATCTCTTGCTGGCACTCTGAGGTGTGCTGTATCAGCAACTATACACTCTAACTGTGCGTGTAGTTTGGAGTCTTGTAAGGGATGTGTTGTCCGGTGGTTTCTGCCGTGAGGTATCAAACACATGAATGTTGTAATATTAGTGGTTGTGGTAGTAGTAGTAGCAGTGGTTTGATTGTGGTGGAGTAGCAGCAGTAGTAGTGGTGGTGACAGTAGTAAGTATATTATACTTACCTGCTAATAGGTAGCAGAAGGTATAGTGGTTGTAGAAGTAGTGGTGTCGGCTCTGTGGCTAAGTCGATGCGAACGCTTCGTAATGCCGGGAAAAAAACGACCGTCCAGGAAGCAATGGCAAACTACTGGACGTAAATTTGCCTAGAAAAACCACTGGTTCTGCAACGTCCTGTAAAGGATACGCAACCAACATAGTAGTAGTGGTGGCGGTAGTAATAGTAGTAGTAGCAGTAGTAGTAATTGGTTAGCTAGTTGCGTATCCTTTACAGGACGTTGCAGAACCAACCCCTGCATTTTTTGGCTGTCGTGTTATTTTTTCTAATCACATTTATATTCAGTAGTTTGCTTTTCTGGGCGGTTGTCTTTTGGATATCACTGTCGAAACCAACGCAAGGCGTAAGGCCTGCAACTTGGATCGAACCCAGCACCCCGGGCATAACGAAGCGCGTCCGCAACGCCTAAACCACTGAAGTAGTAGTCGTAGTAGCAGCAGTGGTAGTAGTAGTAGTAGTAGTAGTAGTAGTAGTAGTAGTAGTAGTAGTAGTAGTAGTAGTAGTAGTAGTAGTAGTAGTAGTAGTAGTAGTAGTGATTGTGGCAGTAATTTATATATATATATATATATATATATATATATATATATATATATATATATATATATATATATATATATATATAGTATTAGTGCTGGTAGTGGTTGTAGACGAAGTGATGGTGGTTGTAGTAATATGAATATTAGTAGTAGTGGTGTTGGTGGTGGTAGCTGTAGACGTAGCTGTAGCTGTAGTAGTAATATTCAAAGTCGTAATAGTGCAGTAGTAGTAGAAGTAGTGGTGCTACTGGCGCTGGCTTATTTGCATGCAGACTGTTTGTTCCTTACTTCACAACTAGATGTATTCCGTATTTAAAAGAAGCCCTCTCTTACGACATGCTTGTTAGTGAGGTCTAAATTTGTTTCCCCCCAGCGGGGCACTGAAACACACGCTGGGATGAAATAATCTGAAATGTAAAAACTCAAACTGTACAAGATAATTTCTAAACCTGGTTAAATGGCACCTCTAGGTCTCTACACAAATTAGCTCAATTGGAGCTACCAGGTGTCGTGGCCTATAGAGTTTAGCTGAGTTAAGTCAAGAATTGACATCACAACACTCGAGGCATTCCCATGCATGCTGCGTCCTCCTCTTCAGCAGCCAGCGCATAGTTTCAATACTAATGGTACCGGTCACACTCTGGTTAAATGTCCGTCCTGCCTTTCCTCTGAGTGTAGTGAGCCTGCCAGACCCTTTGGTTACACGCAAGTGCCTCATTGTCTCCAGGCCATAATAATCCTCTTTCTCTACTGATTCCGTTGCTTGTTTCCAAAGGGCCTATAGTACAGTAGTAGCAGTGGAAGCACGCCTCTATAAATCTGTTGCTGGCACTCGAAAGAATAATGTGCCAACAACAACCCAAGGGAGGCTGCATGGTCTAGACGCATGGCGTCTGCCTCGAGTGCTGGAGGTCCCGGATTTAAGCCCAGGTGAAGGCTAGGATTTTTTTTTTTCATGTTGACTTCTAGTAATTTCCCGTGGTTTGTGAGTATTAAGATCGGGCGCCCGTGTGTATTGTTGCACACGTAAAAAATCCCTAGGCTGTTGGAAAAGAGTAGCCTAACAGCCCTGCCCGGGCAAAACGTAGAGTTAAAAATCTACCCAAAGTATTTCATGATCTTCGCCGGTGCTATTAAGTTCGTGCACTGCGCTAAGAGTCATTAGACTCAGACTTGAGTTAGAAGTAGAACAGAGCATCTCTGGGTTACTACTCTTGTGCCATGATGTTGATGCGTTGTTAAAACCCAAAAACCTAGCAACAATCCCGACTTCAGTTGTTTAAACCCAAACACCTAGTGTCACGAGACGATCTCAGTGATTCCAGAAGTTAGTACTTGTAATAAGTTCTTCTGGTTCTAAAGAGACAGAATTATATTTACTCTGCGCTTTATCCTAATATTGCTTTAAACCGCACGGATTTAAATGTTTCCAGTCCTTAGTCCAGACAAAGCGACTCAGTCTTGGGTAATGTTACACAATTACACCGGGGCTAGAGAATTCCCTTTCACATGCCCATGTCATAAATGTTATCTCCTGACCAGACTGCTTTGAACAGACTTTTGATGAGACTAGGGGTGTAGGTTTGATTCTCACGCCAGTGTCATAATGTTATCTCCTAACACAGCCTGAGTGGGGCCCTTTTGAACAGGGGAATTGAGCGGACTGTAGACATTGAGGCGAGGAGAAGTTTAAAGTTTAACACGTCAGTGTAATTCGGGGTAAACTAGATTGGGGCACTTAAGAATGTTTGCTCTAGGGATGTCAGTCCATAATTGACTGACAGGCCCACTTGTTAGCTAATGTGAGTTGATAGGTACTTCGGAGGAGGAGCTTAAGCCATCATCTTGAGGGTTGGGTAAAAACTAAGGAAAGGGAGGAGTTTAATTTGGACAATAGATTAATACTTATACTGCGAGCCTGTGGAATTCCCGTCATTAATCGCAGCCTGCCGGCAAACAAACAGGTCGACGTAAAGGTATATTTTACTGTCGTACTCTGGTTTGGCGATAAATGGGAAGTT